ATAAATAAAATAAAATAATATTAATACAATAAAATATAATATAATATAATACAAAAATATAATATAACTTTTATATTTATTAAAAGCGCATTTATTTTGTATAAAAATGCTTTTCAAATAATCGAAGTAACACAAAATATCTGAAACGAAACGAGGCACAAGTTCGAACCATTCGAATGGTCTCACGGATTAGGTTAGGTGGCATGCTCACTTGTCCTAAATCTGTGTCACTGAACATTGGAGCATATGAATGAATTGCTCCAACCGCCACCTTACCTGTGATTCAAGTGCTGGGTTAATTTGGAGCATGCAACGCGAACAAACCTCTTTATTTCATGAAGGGAACGGAGGACTTTGATTGGTACATTTTCTTATGTATTACGTGTTATGCATTATGCAAGAGTCTGTGCTTCTCGCTTTATATATATGGCCAGCATGAGTGCATCCTTTTCTAAATGAGGACTACCCTCACTCCTCAAGGTTGTGAGGGGTGAGGAGGACCTCCATCGGTCTAGAGACACTATGTCTATGGTGTTAACGAATCAGTGGCCAAGTTTACACCGAGCACTTGGTACGTGTATTAGTACATATCTGTATCAAATTACTTGATACGCTTGGTATAAATACTGGCGGATTATTTTGGTCTGATATTTCTGAATCACAGACCAAGCTGATATGCGTAAAAAATGGTATCAAAGAATTTCAGCGTGCAAACGCTTGGTTCATTTTGGATCGTATATTAAAATTTGCCACTGCTTTTAAGTTCAGATTAAAGTTAGAATTAGAAGTTTTATATTTTGAAAAAAACAGTGAAGACATCATGTCACCTAATCTGATCTGTTCTGAAGCAGATCGATGTAAATAAGGTATAACGTATCAAATATTTAATTCGCACCAATTTGATATGCCTACTAATTGATTTAACGGTGTAAAAGAGGTTAGTTAGATATATTATCATAAATATACAGATTATGAATTTAATTTAGGCACGAAAATCTGCATTAGCTCTGCGAGCTCGGTCTTTAAATCCGGAATGGATCGAGCAGCTCGATTGGTTCTAGAAATGTTAACCCTGAACGCAGATGAGATGACATGTAACAGAAAGATGCGAGTTGTCAAATGATTTTCGAGGTAAAGAGCAAACGGATGCTTCCGATTTGCAATGCCGAACGCACCTTACATTGCTAGCTGGATTAGAATCTTGTCATCGTATTGGTTATAGTGCTGTGCTAGTGTCACAGCCAATACTGTGGGAATGAAGATTTTAATCCAGCTAGCATTCCAGCAAGAAAACAAGCATCGTGTGTCGCAGGCTTTGGTTTAGCTTAAGGAGGAGCACTACTGTGACAGCCGAAAAAAAGGCTATTTTTGTGAATTTTTTTTGTGAAAACTAATAGCTTGTATGAATTATGTCTTTATATATTCAAAGTCCATTCCTTATGGCTTAAAAGGCTTAAAAACCTATTGTCCGGGGTAAGACTTGTAGCGGAAAGGACAAAGGTTAAAATTCGATATTAAAATAAAAATGTGATTTCTCCTCCCATAAAGAGTCGAATACGCACATCTCAAGTATCGTTTTATTTCTATTCATTTTTCATATTATATAATTACAAAAAAGAAAATTAAAGCAAGCTTGTGAAGCTACTAACTTTTAAATTACGAAAGTTACAGCCGTCGGATTCGGAATACTTCTTGTTTAGTTAGGGGGCTACCAACATGTAGGAAATAGAATAAAGCCAGCGGCACACGATGCTTGTTTTCCTGCTGGATTCTAATCCAGTTAACAATCCAGCAGGAAAACAAGTATTGTGTGCCGCTGACTTAAGAGAGTCTCCTATATTAGGAGGTCGAAAACAAAGTGATGTTTTGTATTTTTTTTCATAAGGAAAATTAATGTTTATCGATTTCCAATTTTTTTTGCATGTTTTAATATAATTATTGTAGAGTACGTTCAAATTTTTATGTGAAAAAAGTATTCTAAAACATAAACATTTTGTTTGACGGTTCGTCACGACGTAATTTTGTGTACATCTTAGTAGCTGTAATTTTTGCCAAAAAATCAACAAAAATTTTTAGCATCCTATGTAAAAAATTTAAAAAATTTATATAAATTACAATTTTGTGCGAAACTTTGAAGAAAAAAATTACGATTTTTTACTAGGTAGCAGCCATTTGTTTATACAAAAAAATTGTTAATGTTGATTTTTATTTAATTTTTTTTAATTTACATAGAATTGACTATTAACTGAAGAATGAGCTCTAAAAAAAGTCGATCGGATAAATACTTTTTTCTTAATTGTGTACACAAAATTGAAGAAAATGCAAAAAACGATTTCGAGAAAGACGTCCCAGTAAACAAGAATGGATTAAAATGGATTAAAATTTTTTTAATGCGTACTTTAAACACTAATTTAATATTCGAAAAAAAAAAACTATATTTAAGGGTTACAAATTTTTTTTTTATTCCAAAGACATTTATACGTAGGCTGCTAGAAAAGTTTCTGCAAACAATATGAAAAAAAAACATGTAAAATTCGGTAAATGGCTTTATTGTTTTTTGAAGTATTCGCCTTTAAGATCGATACATTTTTGCATACGCTCGAACCAATTTTCGAAGCATTTTTTCCACTCTAAGGCTGTAACCTCAGAAATCAGTGTACGAAATGTTTCAACAGCTGCTACAGGCTCAAATCGCTCACCACGCATCTTATTTTTAATGTTTGGGAACAAAAAGAAGTCATTAGGTGATAAATCAGAATACGGACAATAAGTTATCAATTCGACATTATTACTGGATAAAAAATCAACGGTTTGACATGCTGTGTGACAGCTGGCGTTGTCATGATGAAGGATGATGCGACGATTTCGATTTGTTCTACTCAATTCATTTATGACTTCTGGCAAACAAATTGTTGTATACCAATCAGTATGTACAGTCCTTGGATCCTTTAAAGCCACGTTGTCACATGTCCGGTATAATCGAAGAAACAAGCAATCATTTGCTTGGGAGTACTACGTGAACGAACAACTTTTGTTGGTTTCCGTTGATTTCATTTTGAAATACCCAAACAGTGGATTGTTGTTTACTTTCAGGCTCATACGAATAAATCCATGTTTCGTCCCCAGTAACGATGTTGTAAACCAAATTTGACCGACCTCGGTTAAATTTCTTGAGCATTTCTTTGCTCCATTTAACACTAGCCTGGTTTTGGGCTTCGGTCAAATTGTGTGGGATCCAACGACTGCAAAGTTTCCGTACGCTCAAGTGATCATGCAAAATCGTATGTATTGCTTTCATGTCAATGCCTAAGGATGTCTGAATCTCGCGGTATATTATATGCCGGTCTCGCTCAATCATTTCACGCACAGCATCAACATTAGTGGCAACAACAGACGTGGATGGACTTTCACGAAATTCATCACCAAGAAAGGTACGTCCACGCTGGAATTCGGCAAACCAATTATAAACAGTCCTATTGGATAGTGCTTCATCTCCAAAAGCCAAATAAAGGCGATCGATGCATTGTTTCGGAGTTAGATTACATTTGTAATCGTAAAAATCATTGCCCGAAAATTTTCACGCGAAATTTCCATTTTTTTACAAAATAACTTCTTTTAAAATACTACAAACAAAACTAGTTGGCTTGGATACAAACTGTCAATTGAATTATAGGTTAAAAACGTCTAATTTTACGGATATGATAGTAGCAGGACGTTGGCGCCACTGGAAGTACTAGATTGCAGAAACTTTTCCAGCAGTCTACGTAATAATTATACCTGAAAGTAACTACTTCAAATTGGTATTTAAAAACGCATTTTAGTGGGATTCAAACCTGGAACCTCTGGATTATGAATCTTCTATGTTATCCTCTACACCACTTTTTCAATTGGTAAATGTGTTATTCATTCTCTACTTCAATTCCAACCAGCTAAACCAAAGTGTACGAAATTATAGACATAATAAAAATATCATCATTTAACAGATATAAAATATAAACAATTTACAATATGATTGGAAATGAGATGATTTATATTAAAACTTGAAAATTAAATGAGTGGACTGATTTCGTATTTCAAGTTTTAATATAAACGGTCTCATTTTCAATCATATTGTTTATACACACTCGCCTATACATGCGTAATATACATATCGGTTATTGCGAAGAATGT